GCTAAGTACACTCTATTTATGAGAGATTAGGTTGAATAGTAACAAAACATGACTTGGATAGTTGGCTTCTTTCTATGTCGGACCGAAACTTTTTGTTTCACCCTTGCAGACCGGGTGTCCAGTCGAAGCTAACACATACGGAAAGGACACTAAAATAGCAATCAATCCACTTTGGCTCTCTTTCATTAGCAGTTAAACACAGTGCTCATACAGCTCCTGATCAAAATAGCTGGTACCCGAAGTAAGTGCATTCTCGTCGTGTGAAAAGATGCTAACCATAGCACACTGACAGCACATTGTCCGTAGAGGGGCAACGGTGCAGGAAATATTTTTGGTACCTGCTTCATACATATGGATAGCGAGCGAAATAGCAGCGTTCAATTCGTAACAGCCGGTTATGGCAAGTGGTCCGTATACGAGGTGCAGACCAAGAACCTAACGAGACAAAAGTATCATAGCGATGTACCGACTATGGGTAAGGCAAACCAATTTGGTTGCAGGTTTAGAATATAAATCGGTTTTTGTAGGATTTTATTATGGCAACGTTGCGCTCTTGATGCAAGAGCATCTTCACGCAGCTTTCAGACATCGCAGTAATTGCAGGTAGGTTGATATGGTTTAGTGTGTGTACTTCAGGTGGGTACTAGAGGATGTTCAGGATTCACTGAAAAAACCGCTGGGAATGTTGGTTCAGGTGAGTTAGCAGACGATGAATCTAATGATGCACTGTGCTATAACACTCTTCGTGCAATGGCTCGAGAACGTCACGACGAAGTGAAAACACGAGTAGAGTGTAACTGTACGCCGATGTTATCGTGCTAAGCAGGACAGATAATGCCCATCTTCGGCGAGCAAAATGGCTGTGACGAGGCGTTTGAGGCCAAGAATCGGACAAAGGATTTCGACTGTTAATCGGTCTCACTGACAAATAAGATAAATGCATGATGTATCAATACTGGGGTAACTGTGGCAACAAAAGGACGAATTACAAAGCACGGCACATTCAGACATGGTGGGAATAAGCACAGTAGTTTGTGGTCTCACCGACACATGTATCGTGACAATGAAGCAAAGTTAAGTAGTGACAACTTAGGGAACAGTGCGACAAAGATACAACCGCACCAAAACATATGGCTTCGGAAAAGGGACAAAAACCAGTGGAATTTCCTGATTACGAAGCAGGATAATGACTAGCACAGTACCGGTGTCAAACATATAAGCAAACCGATTAAAGTGGGTCAAAGTAGAGGCAAATGGTGGATCACCTACCGTCCATAGCTTGTTCGAGGGTTTGGGAGCGGAATAATACATCGGATTTCCTGTCAAAGGGTTTGCGTGCCGGGAGCTGTGCAGACAACTCGACTGAAGGGTCTTCGGAAGAGTTGGGGTCGCGAACACACTTTGGGTTAAACACCGGTATATAGCCTGGGGGGATACGTACCGGCTCTGAGTCCCCTGCGTATCTATCAGCACCAGTCAAAACCGAGCCAACAACGAACCCGGGGAATGTTGACCGTTTCGATGCATCAGCAGACGGATGAGAAGCTGATAGGAGACAGCATACGGTGATAAATATGTAGGACGGGAGTTTACTTATGTGCTAATCATAAAAAGTAAACAATGATCAAAACTGAACCAAGAGCAGGACCGCGAAACCAGAATGAATGAATCAAAATGAAAATCTCGGAAACGGCGGACGCAGTTCCAGGTTAGGTACTAAGCCAAGTGAAAGTGACCGCGGACAGTTTCATTACTACTCGAAGAAAGGTAGGCACACGTGGAGTAACGTTACGCCGGGCAAGAGGAGACAAGTGTGTGGGGCACACTTGCTGGAATACAATGATCTGCCGAGGTCAAACAACGGGTGGTGAATTTATTTAGTGATAAGTCACATCCACGAGGTCGCAATGTTGTTAAACAGCGCTCTTTGATTTTTAATATGAGGAATGCTATTCACATGAAAACCCATCACGTCCTGGATCGTCTAGCGGTCACAATGAGTAGCGCGATATGTGACGAAGTGCCAACTGATAATTTGGGGGGATGTAAGTTCCCAAATCGACAACAATCAGAAAAGCAGCACACGAAGTAGAATTAAAGAAGGCAATGCACCCACCTGTGCGCCGAGAGGGAGCGGTCCAACCATCGAGGGTTTTATGCCCAACTGATTTACCCTTCTGTTTGTCAGAACCGGACCAGCGCCCGAGGCGTGCCGCTTCCAATTCCGACTCCTCGTCATCCGAAGCTTCTTCGTCCGTAGCGTTACCTCCAATCTCCCAATCGTAATCGGCCAAACGATCAGTATCATATACATCAGGGTCATCTAATTCCAGAACGCCAACGCCAAACGCCTGACCTAGACAAATTAGGAACCCAACAGTCATGTGCAAGGCGTAAATGTGCTCAAAAACCTATCAAAAACAAATGTACGATTAAACAAATTTCAATATCACGACGATAAGTAAGACTCCAACAGTAAAAGGATAAAACGGGTGCGTTTTCGTAAACAGTTAAAAGAACGAGCACCGAAATTCGTTAGATCTAGTTTTCATAATGGGGACAAAAAAATTGAAGTAGTGCGCAAAGCAAGGGCATTCAGGTGGCTTGGGATAAATTCTAGCGAAATTGGTCAAATTGGAAAGTTATCACAGCTAGAGGTAAGAGGCCATATCTTATATGGTTTCCAATCACTGACGCGGCCGAGCCCGAAGTCCTCATCCAGGAGGTGGTACATGTAAAGTTGGCATGAGCCGCACTCTATTGCCTCGTGCACTTTTGCCACATCATTGGGTGGTCACTCTGAAATTCTATTCAACTATATGCAACAACGGCAAACAGGTCACGCTGAGGTGCGCGGTCACTGAGCACATAAGGGACATGACCAGGGGAGACCTCATGACTCAAGGTCAACAGATACGTCAGCGTGGCATCAAAGAGTGGCCTTCTCAATAGCAGTGGGTGGATTTTAGCATTGCTCATGTAATGCTCCAAACAGATGTAAGCAACATTATAAAAGAATCTGGGTAAAAGACAACTATACCCTAAATATTTACAATGTGAGAAGGAGTCATATTTCCGGACGATACAAGACAAGCCATAGGAGAGCGCTGGACGTCCTGCAGTGAACCAATGGGTGTATACACACACCGCCGTCGCCAAAGAGGGGTGAGGCTTTGAAAAGCTACATGAGTCTCGTTTACAAATGACGTAAGCCTCTTAACGATAACATCACCAAATTTGCTGCAGGAATCTGGATAAGTGAATCGATTGACCACTTTTAGTGACCGTTCGGTGACGCCTAGAACTGATGAAACGTCGATCCAGTCCTTCGAGGTTATTTCGTCATTTGCAAATTGAACACGCGAAGCGCATGCAGATGTGTGCGAGTGGTAATTCAGACTTCTCAATAACAGGTGTACCGAAAGCGAGTCCGACTCAAAAACAACGTCAGTATAGACTAAAACTGACGTACCATAACCCAGCACAGCTGCTACTAGGATAACTGAACACTGAGGAAAAATGCGTTCTTTAAGCGCATAGAGTCAGCACGCTTCAGTTCACAGTAAAAGAGCTAATTCACGCGAAGCTCGTACGAGGTAGGAGGCGATATATCGACGTTCCACACGAATCCAGACAAATTAACAAAAGCGGGTGAGACAACAGCGTTATGAAACTGGGATTCGAAATGTCCACTCGATAGTCCAGTAAGTGCGTCTGAACTGTGTACAACTATGGTAACATTCTTTTTAAAAGCAGCACATCAGTAATTCGAGCTGATGCATCGTTGCCATGCAGCAATGAGCAGCATGGTAACGAAAACTACTGAGAGAAAGAAGGGATCGTAAGGAGAACTATTAGGGCGCTCAACCAAACCTTTTGGTCCCAATGATAGGAGTAGGAGGAGGAGTAGGAGTAGGACGAAACCGCGGTCTTGGGGTGCCAGTGTTGGGGTGAGCAACACTATAAGGTTTTCATTTTACTTTTGATGGGAATGACCGAGGTTCACCTCAAGTGAACCGAGGTCTCAATAGAGGTTGCTTGTAGCAACCCAACCACCAGTGGATTCTTCAAAATTAACTTTGAAGTCACTGATTCGCATCTGCGTATGTCCGAGAGACCAAGCGTGTGTTGGTTATAACTTGCCACCTTGATTGAAGAAGACTGAGCCCCATAAAGCCGTGCCACGTACTTGCTTCGCAAAAAGCACTCCGGGTCATGCGAATAAAAAGTTCGCCAACAACACACGTTGCAATAAGCTATAATGAAATCAAGGGGGAACTTGCCTCGAATACCTGCGCGTGCTGGTCCCTCTAGGGGAACGAATCCTCTCTGAAGACTGGACTGACGTTCTACCAATGCGGAAGAGGATTCTTCTGGATGACGGAAACTTTTGTCGGATGCGAATTGGCGGCGACCCATCGCAATGTTAGGATCCAGTCCGGAGTAACCCAAGCCAAATGTATTGTTTTTACCTTCGAAGTCAATTTTTGTGTAGTAAACGACTGAAAATAAGGCGAGGTTAAATGAAGAGACCAATCATTAACGAGTAAGTGGGAGAAAACGGCAGATAACAGCTAAGTTATACATTATGCTGAAGGATGTGATGAAATCACGATCGTGTAGATACGAAAAAGTAGTAGTTATTCAGTTAGTCTATGCCTCGCGCCGTCGAAAAATACACCCATCATTTATTTATTATGTATTAATTGCGTACGGAACAATGAGCGCCTTCTGACAAATTCGATGAAACGGATAACTGTCAATATCCACATTTTAACCGCTCTCATAATCGGCAAACACGGAGACAGGCTAGGATGGACAAAGAAAAAGTAACCAAACTGATATGGAGTAGATTCCTGTACAACTTCAGGGAAACAGTAGCATAGTGAATAAAATAAAGGCATCAGCAGTCCACCAATGATCTGCTAAAATGCAACTGCAAGTGGTTTTGTATACCTGCTGGAGTGCCACAAGGACGCCCAAACTCATGATGGAGCGAGCACTCGAACTCGGGCGTAAACGGTGTAAGCCGAAGGTTGGAACTACGCCAACACAGATCATTGTTGGAACAATGATCAAAGGGAATGCAACCTGCGCGTACACAAAGCGGATGATTCGTATACGAGAACAGTCAGAGAAACCACCCACGTCAGACTTCAGAAAGGTTTGGCTGGATAAACCCCACAGTTAACTGTTGAACTCACTCGAGAAATGGATATGGATAGTGAAGTGGGGTGAGTCCAAATGAAATTCTGGTTGCGATATTCAAAAACACAGCACTATGAAATGGGCAGCGGTCAAAATCTGAGTGGTAGTTCGACCAAGGCGAATCAGGATCACAGAAGATAGAATGTAAAACAAAGTTTGCTCAGAGAACAAGAGGCAGGATCGAAACGGACGCATCCGGAATAAATCGATGGAATTGTTTTGGTAACCGTTTCCAAAACTTAATGCGAGGAGATAACGGCATGATTTCAGAGGGTCTCTTTCCAGAGGAAAGTAAGTCAGTAGGTCGCCATCAAAAAACTGGTCTTCAACGTGATGTGCAACTCGATGCATTACGGATGGGAAAAATGCATCGAACTGTGAGGGAAATACGTACCTGGAACAGTTAACTCGGGCGCGTCGAACGTAGAAGTCAAAGGTGAAGGTTCATGCTCGACTGCATCGTCCGCCAACTCGAGCTGAGATTCCCTCCATCCCATTTTCCGAAGTAGACGTTGAGCCAGAGGACCTCTGCAAATAGGACAAAACATTTTCACTGCAGGTTTTGTATTTCGGGGGACAAATCGCGCCGCATGAAAGGATAACGCACTTTGACGGTACAATTAAATTCTTGATAATTGACCCTGCTCCAGGAATGACCGATTGGCCCCCGATTGCTGCCTTGAGTGTATCACGCAGATGAGAGTCGTCGAACGTAGACGACAATTTGATGCGACGTGGGGCGATACCAAACTCCCCGAAGTCCTTGATTTGGAACAAAAGCCAATAGTCATATGGTGTAAAGGCTGCGAAGCTGAACGAGCAGCAGTGATCATGCGTGGTATGCACCACGCACAAAAATGATGCAAAGATCAAGTGACCCAATCAAATCTGAATGTCAAAACTAGGATTTTGCAAACAAAAAAGAAGGAAGTTGCGCTGTGCCCATTCAGATCGTTTTCGTTCATGTAGGTGGAAAATTCGTGGCAGTGATGCAATGGTTCGAAATATGCCTCCGTTGTGTGGCGATACAGAAGCAAACAGAGCAAATCAAGGTTAAAAGATGGAAGTACAACTCATGTGGTTATCATCCAATAAACAGTATGTAACTGAATAGGTAGATGGTAATAAATTTGCGTGTAGCGGGCAACGGTGGCAATAGCCCGCATGGACGATTCCTCGTGGATGAAGGCGCCGGGAAGAGGCCAAACACACCTACAATCAATAGAAGACCACTTATGAAACATGAGCAGAAAGACGAAAAAGGAAGTTCTGTGAACAGGCAAAAGGATGGAAGTAGGGGAAGGCAGGTCGCAACAAAGCACTAACCAGCACCAAGTATACCAAAAGAGATGGGTACCACTGGGCTGAACAACAGCATCAAAGATAAGGCATTCTATTACGTTATGTGTTCTTCGCCAGACAGTCCAGCAGGAAACGACACTTGATTTCGCCAAACACAGTGGTAAAGAAATCAGAGTGAGCAAATTTTTGTATCTAAGGTTGTTCATATGTTAGTCGAACCGTTGGCGAGACCTAGTAAATATTTGCAGAAATTCAGCACCATTTGAAGAGACATCACCAATGCACTGCGGAGCAGTGGAGCGAAGTAGCTAGCTAGAATGGAAGCATGATAGTGGATTGATAATGTCGACAAGTTAGATAATATGTTTGCAACAGAATTGCAAGGCAAAGAGAACAATCCGACTACCAAAACAGTCAGAATAAAAAGCCGACGGCAATCAGTCTGCACCAGGTGTCACTCGAGGCAAGCAAAATGTGTGAAATTCGCACACAAGTGTTCTAACCCAAATTCGCATCTGCTAGCAGTTAGTAAGGACTGCGACACCAACGCATAAGTACAAGTTGGCTCAGTACAGTACAGCACAATAAGTACATATCATGAAACGAATTGCAGCGCATTAACTGATGCTAGTTCATGCGGCCGAATACCGATGATAGTCACTAAATAATAATAAAGTAAAAAGAATAATAAAGCAAGAGGGAATAACAATGAATAAGTTGTTAGGTGTAACAGTTATAAAGAACTGTTGAAGAGTCAGGCACGGGATGCAACAGTAAGTAAAAAAAATGCGCAGCAATCGTCTGCAAAGGAAAGATGCGTCCGAGAAATAAGTAGTTATCAGAGCGCTTTACTCGCATACTTCCGGTAAATAAGAGCTAATGCAAACTATCACCGCTCTTTAATATCTCCAGCGGTGTGAAACAAGGTTACCCAATGTCACCCTTCCGTTTTTACTGCGCCATCGACGCAGTCAGCGAAAGTGCATGCACTGGGCACGAGTTGTTAAAGTGTGGAGTCGATCCCAGGCGAGCGACCTCTTGACTTGGAGTACGCCGACGATATTGCCCTGTGACAGCTACCAAACTTGCCAAGCTGCACTGGATACATTAGCTCTGTCTCTCAGTCAATTCGGGCTCTGCCTTGCACCATCGAAATGCAAAGTCTCGCTCAAAGACTAGCAGGGACTCATCCCTGAGCTGACACTTAGCAGTGATCAGCTAGAAGTCGTCCAGAAATTTAAGTGCATCGGCATAAATTAGCGTCCGTCGAAACGAAGATAAAACCACCAGCTGTATAGCAAAATCTCGAGGCGCTTTCGCTAATCTCCACAAGCTGTGGCGCCGAAGCGACATCACTTTCGCCCTGAAAAGCGGAGTTTACAACTCAGCCGTACGTTCAACGCTACTGTATGTCTGTGAAAGCAGAAAACTTGCAAAAGAGGTTGGGGTGTAGCAGCGAAAAGCCAACTGAACTTGGAATGATTACGCTGGTTAGGTCACGCACATTGCATACCCAAAGACCGGTTATTTAGGTGTGTTTACTGCTATTACTGTGGATAAGCAGACACGCCATAAAGGCATGAAAAACAAAGCAAAACACCAGTCATAGTCAGTGCATGCTGACTTCTCGAGTGGGGGCCTTGTGGTCAGCCGCATGAACAGTTGGAGATGCCGTCGTTTTTTGGCGTCTTACTATTAATTTAATGCTCACGTTATTTTATCCATTCCGTTTGAAATGAACTTCCTTCCTTCTTTGTCCCTCAGATCTCAAATATCAGTGCATTTGCGACAAAAGTAAACGAAACTGGGCTCTATACCAGTTAAACAAGCGAAAGGGAACGATTCGCGATTGCTGGAAATCACGAGCACCTATTCACCCCCCTAAGAATAAGATAAGCCGAGTGATAGACGATATGGCAAAGGCGTAGTGCGATGAATGCAGCAGCATACATTCACGCGATCCTCATAAATGCTATATTCTGAAAGTGTATATGACTGAGGAATCAGCACATATCTGAATGTTGTTAACCACCGTTAACGAACGATGTAGTCAGTTTGAAGCCTGTATAATACAAACTAGTAAACACGGGTGAAAATACCGGGACGGTCCGCTTGTTGGTTCTACGGGAAAAGGTACTTCAACGTATAGCAAGCGCATGGGATAAAAAATTGCAGTTGTAACCGTTTCCTTTACAGGTATAATGTTCAATTTCGCTCCTAGCAAGTCAACCAAGACCTCGGAGGAAAACATATTATAAGAAGAAGCTACTGAAACGATACAAGTAGTAAACGATTTAAGTTAAATTTATAGGTCAATATCAGCACGTCATTTGGAGAGCGATTAACACTGAATTCAGGGTAAGCGAACATACGTTTTCGATAATTCGTCTTCAGGCTAATACAATTATGTGCAAAATCAAAATCAAAATGTAGACAGACATTATAATTCGTTACTAGTGGAGCGACTTAATTGGATGCTGATAGCGCTGTCTGTTAAGCCACGACGATCGACCGCGTGTGACCTCGTGGGTTAGAGGTCACCGGCCGTTTGGGCCAGGGCAGTTCCAAGCCTTTAGTTAGCTTCTTCTAAACACCTAGCTCCGGTTCATACAGCCTGATCGCAATTGCTTCAGCGGCTTCCAGTAATCGCTTACGGACACAGTTCGAGCGGTGCTTTGGGGCCTGATAGATTAGTTTGAATGAATCGGTGACCTTTGTCACGTGCCCTGTATCGGCTAGGTGCGCAGCTATTGATGAGTTCGCTGTATTTCCACTTACATTTGTAAGCCTGACCGGGTGGTGTTCCTTCATTCTCTCGGATAGACACCGTGTCGTACGACCAATGTATTCCGCTCCACAGGAGCATGAAAATGAGTAAATACACATTGAGGTGGTGTGGACAGGCCTCTTATCCCTTGAGTTTAGTCTCACCATCGGATAGCTAGTGAACTGGATTTGCATCTGCGCTGCTGGATAGGTGCGTCTGAATGCAAAAGAAAGACGACGAGATAGAAGTTCCGTCGCAACCTCGCCTTTGTATGGCAGCTGTAGGAAGATTGGCTTACGTTCTACAGTCAAAACTACAGGCTTTTTCTTCTTATGTTCCATGTTGGCTCTGATGAAGTTTTCCGGATAGCCGTTCTCCCTTAGCAGTAAGCGGATGCACTCTAATTCTTCCGCAAGCGTGTCATTAGAGCAGATACGTTCAGCTCGGCTCACTAGAATAGTTATCAAGTTCCGTTTAAACCTAAGTGGCACAAAGCTGTAGAAGTTTGTGTACTGCCCATTCCACGTACTTTTCCTATAGACGCAGCGCTGTAGCGCACCCCCATCCAGTCTTTTCATGGCGACATCGAAGAAATGAAAGCGACCGTTTTCCTCCACTTCGCTGGTGAACTTTATTGCTAGATGGCCTTGGTTGAAAGTGTTTGTTTGTTCATCGATACTTCGAGACGACTGAAGCAAGACAAAAATGTCGTTCACGTAACGGCAATATAAACCGAGACTTGAGATTGTTGGCTTTAGCTTTCCCTGTTCCAGCATGTCCATGAAGACGTCGGCTAGGAACGGACCCATTGGGGAACCCATCGCCACCCCATCGTACTGCCGGTATAATTCGCCATTGAATAGAAACTGAACATTGAACGTGCATCTGAGCAATAGTTCCTTTAGGATCACCGTGAGTATGCCAACATTAATGTGGTTTGCATCAACATACTCACAGATGTAGTTTATGGTCTCAACTAATGGTACGTTGGTGAAGAGTGAAGTAACGTCGAGGGAGCACCTGGTTAGATTGGAAACATTTACATCACGCACAATATCCATAAACTCAAAACTATCCTTCACAGTATACACAACAATTCGCTCTCGAATTGGTGTAAGGATCAAAACCAGCCACCGAACAACCGAGTGATATGGGGAGTTTTTCATATCCAAGACGGGACGAAGGGGGAAGTTAGGCTTGTGAGTTCTTGGTAGCCCATATAGCCTTGGAATAACCGTTCCTACCGGCCGAAGTTGTTCATAAGTAGATTCGTTGATGTAACCATCCTTTTGAAGCTCTTTAAGACAGTTGCAAAGTTGAGTTTCAATCTGTTTTGTTTTGTCGTTCTCACCTATGGCCCTCCGAAACTTGGTTTCATCTGCCAGTATTTCTTTCTTTTTGCTCAAGTAGTCCACTCTGCATTGAATCTCGTTTAGCTCGGTCACGTGGACCGAACCAGACTACTGCACGTGCTATCCGTTCACAATATTGTGCTTCTCAGCTGGTTTCGCGCCAGTTTGTACTCATCGTGCAGGGATAGCAAGGCTGAGAGTAGAATCCGGAATGTCAGGCATAAAAATGAAGCTTTTAGCTCTATGCTACCGAGCCACTGACGACGATGGTCAAAACGGTTAATAACTCATTAGCGGCGTTGTTTTGAAACACCCGAGTACAAATAAGTACAAAATTGAGA